TGAAGCAAGTAAGTCTACTGTGATACCAGAAGAAAATTTTCAAAAGAGGCAAAGCATCAGAAGTAGCGATAAATATGATTTTGAGAACAGCGATCGGATACCCACAAGTACACCAACTACCAATGAAATGGTTGCTTTGCCACATATGTCCTCAAACACGTTCGAAACATTGAATAACTCTCCAAGCTCAAGCAATTTAGAAAGAAGAAATGAGGACACGTATTATTTCACAGAGTATCCAGATACATCTAGTAGGTCTACAGATATGCATGTTGACTTTGCACATGATGCTCAGAATACTGGACAAGTTTTGAAATCTGAGCAACATATCAGAAATGGGGACATAATTAATACATCCGGATCTGCACAAAGTCACTTGGATAATGGAAATGAAATTACCATAGAACATTCTAGTCTGTACAATGATAACAAATATACAATTGCTTCTGACAAAACTGTATCTGACGACAAGGTTGTTTCAGCCTCTAAAGTTATTGAGAAAAAGATGCCTTTTGGGCATAAAAAAAAGTAAGTGGAAATTGGGAATTTTAAATTATAAGTATTATTTTTTTTATTAATGTGTTCGTATCCAGGGTGCTCCAACTCGTGAAAATAATGATATTGAACCAAATGTGTTTTAGTATAAAGTTCCTAGTTGCTGAGATATAGAAGTTTATCCAAGATATTTTTTTCTCAGCTTATATATTTTTGGGTACAATTTCTACTTCACCTGAACATAACACTGTCAAATCACAAACATCAACTCTTGAGCAAATCAGAGCCTACAATGATATTCCCTTATCAGTTAGCGAGATTGACAGTCAGATAAACGAAAACGAACATAGTCAGGCACACATATTAAATATAGGTCAACAGCCAGCATCAAACGACGATATTGAGAAAAGCCTCGGTAATATCCTGACACTACCTTCAGACGATAGGGAGTATGATAATATATGCGAAGTGACAAACACTGATCCTGAAGCAATTGTAGAACTTATTACTGAAAGTGACAAGGAAATCAACACGCGAAAAAGAATCAGTGAAACGTGTGACAAAATGGAAGTCTGTCCTGTTGCATCACAATTCAAGGATACATCATCGATACGTGAAGCAAGTAAGTCTACTGTGATACCAGAAGAAAATTTTCAAAAGAGGCAAAGCATCAGAAGTAGCGATAAATATGATTTTGAGAACAGCGATCGGATACCCACAAGTACACCAACTACCAATGAAATGGTTGCTCTGCCACATATGTCCTCAAACACGTTGGAAACATTGAATAACTCTCCATGCTCAAGCAATTTAGAAAGAAGAAATGAGGACACGTATTATTTCACAGAGTATCCAGATACATCTAGTAGGTCTACAGATATGCACGTTGACTTTGCACATGATGCCCAGAATACTGGACAAGTTTTGAAATCTGAGCAACATATCAGAAATGGGGACATAATTAATACATCCGGATCTGCACAAAGTCACTTGGATAATGGAAATGAAATTACCATAGAACATTCTAGTCTGTACAATGATAACAAATATACAATTGCTTCTGACAAAACTGTATCTGACGACAAGGTTGTTTCAGCCTCTAAAGTTATTGAGAAAAAGATGCCTTTTGAGTCTAGAAAAAAGTAAGTGCAAATTGGGAATTTTAAATTATAAGTATTATTTTTTTTATTAATGTGTTCGTATCCAGGGTGCTCCAACTCGTGAAAATAATGATATTGAACCAAATGTGTTTTAGTAAAACGTTCCTAGTTGCTGAGATATAGAAGTTTATCCAAGATATTTTTTTCTCAGCTTATATATTTTTGGGTACAATTTCTACTTCACCTGAACATAACACTGCCAAATCACAAACATCAACTCTTGAGCAAATCAGGGCCTACAATGATATTCCCTTATCAGTTAGTGAGATTGACAGTCAGATAAACGAAAACAAACATAGTCAGGCACACATTTTAAATATAGGTCAACAGCCATCATCAAACGACGATATTGAGAAAAGCCTCGGTAATATCCTGACACTACCTTCAGACGATAGGGAGTATGATAATATATGCGAAGTGACAAACACTGATCCTGAAGCAATTGTAGAACTTATTACTGAAAGTGACAAGGAAATCAACACGCGAAAAAGAATCAGTGAAACGTGTGACAAAATGGAAGTCTGTCCTGTTGCATCACAATTCAAGGATACATCATCGATACGTGAAGCAAGTAAGTCTACTGTGATACCAGAAGAAAATTTTCAAAAGAGGCAAAGCATCAGAAGTAGCGATAAATATGATTTTGAGGACAGCGATCGGATACCCACAAGTACACCAACTACCAATGAAATGGTTGCTCTGCCACATATGTCCTCAAACACGTTGGAAACATTGAATAACTCTCCAAGCTCAAGCAATTTAGAAAGAAGAAATGAGGACACTTATTATTTCACAGAGTATCCAGATACATCTAGTAGGTCTACAGATATGCATGTTGACTTTGCACATGATGCCCAGAATACTGGACAAGTTTTGAAATCTGAGCAACATATCAGAAATGGGGACATAATTAATACATCCGGATCTGCACAAAGTCACTTGGATAATGGAAATGAAATTACCATGGAACATTCTAGTCTGTACAATGATAACAAATATACAATTGCTTCTGACAAAACTGTATTTGACGACAAGGTTGTTTCAGCCTCTAAAGTTATTGAGAAAAAGATGCCTTTTGAGTCTAGAAAAAAGTAAGTGGAAATTGGGAATTTTAAATTATAAGTATTATTTTTTTTATTAATGTGTTCGTATCCAGGGTGCTCCAACTCGTGAAAATAATGATATTGAACCAAATGTGTTTTAGTAAAAAGTTCCTAGTTGCTGAGATATAGAAGTTTATCAAAGATATTTTTTTCTCAGCTTATATATTTTTGGGTACAATTTCTACTTCACCTGAACATAACACTGCCAAATCACAAACATCAACTCTTGAGCAAATCAGAGCCTACAATGATATTCACTTATCAGTTAGCGAGATTGACAGTCAGATAAACGAAAACGAACATAGTCAGGCACACATATTAAATATAGGTCAACAGCCAGCATCAAACGACGATATTGAGAAAAGCCTCGGTAATATCCTGACACTACCTTCAGACGATAGGGAGTATGATAATATATGCGAAGTGACAAACACTGATCCTGAAGCAATTGTAGAACTTATTACTGAAAGTGACAAGGAAATCAACACGCGAAAAAGAATCAGTGAAACGTGTAACAAAATGGAAGTCTGTCCTGTTGCATCACAATTCAAGGATACATCATCGATACGTGAAGCAAGTAAGTCTACTGTGATACCAGAAGAAAATTTTCAAAAGAGGCAAAGCATCAGAAGTAGCGATAAATATGATTTTGAGAACAGCGATCGGATACCCACAAGTACACCAACTACCAATGAAATGGTTGCTTTGCCACATATGTCCTCTAACACGTTGGAAACATTGAATAACTCTCCAAGCTCAAGCAATTTAGAAAGAAGAAATAGGACACGTATTATTTCACAGAGTATCCAGATACATCTAGTAGGTCTACAGATATGCATGTTGACTTTGCACATGATGCTCAGAATACTGGACAAGTTTTGAAATCTGAGCAACATATCACAAATGGGGACATAATTAATACATCCGGATCTGCACAAAGTCACTTGGATAATGGAAATGAATTTACCATAGAACATTCTAGTCTGTACAATGATAACAAATATACAATTGCTTCTGACAAAACTGTATCTGACGACAAGGTTGTTTTAGCCTCTAAAGTTATTGAGAAAAAGATGCCTTTTGAGTCTAGAAAAAAGTAAGTGGAAATTGGGAATTTTAAATTATAAGTATTATTTTTTTTATTAATGTGTTCGTATCCAGGGTGCTCCAACTCGTGAAAATAATGATATTGAACCAAACGTGTTTTAGTAAAACGTTCCTAGTTGCTGAGATATAGAAGTTTATCCAAGATATTTTTTTCTCAGCTTATATATTTTTGGGTACAATTTCTACTTCACCTGAACATAACACTGCCAAATCACAAACATCAACTCTTGAGCAAATCAGAGCCTACAATGATATTCACTTATCAGTTAGCGAGATTGACAGTCAGATAAACGAAAACGAACATAGTCAGGCACACATATTAAATATAGGTCAACAGCCAGCATCAAACGACGATATTGAGAAAAGCCTCGGTAATATCCTGACACTACCTTCAGACGATAGGGAGTATGATAATATATCGTCCCTTTAGAATAGAACTAGCCTAAGTCCAAAAAGCAAAGTTTTCAGGAAACGGTTTTTTTTTAATAGATTCTTTATTTATACAGATATTTTAATGAAAATTTGTACACATGTTCTAAAAATGTCTGTTTTTAATATACCTTAGTAAAAACGAAAAACATTAACGTTAAAGCAAAAAGTTGGACATAGATTACTTTTAATGTTAGCAAGTATACCAAGTCCACATCTTGGACTTAGGCTTATTGTATGTTTATGGACATAATATAGTCATTGGTTAATTTTATGACTTTTTATTCAAAACCTGCTACGATAATAACGTAAAATATTATCTATTACTGCTTCAAAATTTTTGTGAAAACTGATTTATTGACTTTTTTCTATAAAAACACAAATGTTCATCTAATAAAATTTATTAGAATAATTTTTATTAATACACAGTTAGTAAGTAATAGAAATAAAATACTTAAAACTTAAGTAGCTGAGCCCAAATTCCTTAACAAATGGAACTGAGCTTGAGTTTCTAAAAAATAAAAAATATTAATTTTTTAAATAATTAAAATAACATGTTTTAAAACAAATGAAAAATATTTCTTAAGTAACTGACCCTAAATTTCTACACAAATAAAAAACATCTTAGACTATTCATCACTATCGGAATCTTGAAAGTTCGTTTTGTTGGAAAATGGTAAATTTTTAAAGTAACTATGGTAAGGCGCTAAAATTGCTCCTTTACGGCAAAGAAACTGAAGATGATCTTCAGTTTTTTCAAAGAAATTTCCTTTTCGTAGCATGGTTTTAGTTTTAGTGAGGCTATCTCGACATCTATTTTTTTTCTTCCTTTTTCTGTGAGCTTTAATTTCTTGTAGGTAGAGTCGTAATTAACTTTAAAAAGTAAAGTGTTAGGGAAACGTGGATCAGCTTCAACTATTTTTATTTTATTTAAAAACACTCTTTCGTTTTCTTCATCTCTTTCCCAGTTAATACACGTCTTTTTTTCAAGATCTTTTAAATCATATATATTTTCCTGTGCAAGCTCAACTACTTTGTAAGGATCCTTTCTTTTAGCTGTCCTTACAACCGTATACCACTGATCTGGTGTGTATATAGGTATATTTCGAGCAGCTCTTTCTATTACGCTATGTACGCAATCGCCTTCACTTTGAGTGTGGCCTTTTTCTAAGTAGGTATGTTTTATTTTTATTTGATATTTTTGCGATAAATAGCTGTACAAAGAGTACAAAAATCTGTTGCGGTTTTGACCGCTACAGTTGTCAGAAAAGAAGCTAAATTCTCTTATTCCTTGTTCTACTTGGCTGATAATGTACAAAAGTAAACAACTTCCAATCTCAGAGGCACCTCTGTTTCCGACTACCTCATTCCACATGTAACAATTGCACTCTTTTGTTGCTAGGTTGTACACAGTAAAGTTGTAAGTTGATAATTTTAATTTGTAATAGGACAGGCCAACATTAGATTTGGGAACTGGCAACACTTGTTGCAAGTCAAAGACAGCGCAACAAACCTCACTGCTATTCTCAGCTGCTCTTTGTTTCTCAAACTGTTTGATTTCTCTTGCCCTATTTTTATTTAGGATATGGATGCGATAATCTTCTTCCAACTCTAATTTTTCTTCAAGAGAACTATTATCGTAGTTGTGGCAAATATCGCAGAGATCCTTTTTGGGCTGAAAGAAGGATAGATTAAAATCTCTATTGAAGATTGTTCTATACATTGCTTCAGTTACTGTTTTCCTAATATTCTTTTCCTGACAATACTCCAGGTACATGGTATACATCTTGCTTACGTTAAGTGTTGGGGGTAAATATTTACGACTGGTCTTTTGTCTGCAGTAATGACTTTCAATTGTTTCAAATAAGTTTATGTGATCCCTAACATTTTGTTTAGTAGACTCGTCAATAAGAGTGTTTTTGCAAGCTTTTCCTCGTCTATCTTCGGAAACAATACCTGTAGTTCCAGTTTTGTTCATAACGGTTTTGACTACCTGTGCACTGATTGACAGTGTATTTAGAAAAAAGTTTTACATATTTGCACCTTATTGTTTTCATTTTTGGGAAGAGAGTATGTAAAAGTACTGTTTCTTCTACTGTTTTATCATTAGACAGTTCTAAGAATGTATTGTCATTCTTTTCTGGTAATTCAGCGGGATGATGCTTATTCTTTTTACGAATTCTAGTTCTAGCTTTAGAAACTACTGTAACATATTTGGATATAAAATCACGTTGGCGGTTGACATCTCCTAATCCCCAATATTCAGTAAATATTTTATGTCTTTCTTCTTCACTCATTTTATTTAGACACTTCATTCTACATTCTCTTCACATGATGTTTTCATTTTTCTTGCTAATTGTTTTTTTCCTTTCCAGTTGGTTGTATTTCTTTCCTTGATTTCTCGATGACTTAATTATGTTTCTTTTCCAAGTATGTTCTCTTCTTAGCTTTTTTTAGATATTTTTCTAGCATTTTTATTCTTTTCATCTGTGTTAGAACTTGTATCAGTTTCTTGATAATTGTTTTCAAAATTAAAGTTTTTTCTCTTCTTTTTGCTTTCTTGTGGATTAAAATTAGGGTCGTTTTCTTCATCATCAGTTTGGAAAGGATCCGTGTCCGATGATAAATACAGATCCTCTTCGACAATATTTTTCCGTTTGCCACATTTTTCAGGGTCCAATTGGTCAGTTTCTATTACATCTAGAACAAAAAGTCTCAGTAAGAAATTTATAACAAAATACCTACTTTTAAAATTGACAACGAAAATAAAAACCAAATCATTTATGAGACCAAAATTACTTACACAAACATTAAAAATAAATAAATGATTATTTTTTTAAACAGACCGGAGGTACTCACTTTCTAGACCCCAAGGATAACTAAATATTGTTGTTGAAAAGCCTCAAAAGCCTATTGTTTTTTTAGCCTTAAAACTGTTATCAACAAAACCGGAGATTTAGATATTATTTTTGAGGATACAAGTATACACACCTTATAAAACACTCTTATTATTCTATCTTCTATTAAAAAATGGGCCACATACATTTATTTGACTGAAACTCAGTATGCTTGGCCAATAATCCTATCCTAAGCAAGATGTATACCATGTACCTTGAGTATAATTGCTTGTTTACTGGTAAAGTGTTTGATTTTTAATATTACTAATTCTTTTTACTCGTTAGTTTGCTTACCCATGATTTTTTCGAGAACACTTCTTACTTCTTCACTAGCATTTGCGTCTCCTTTATCGGCCACAATCGGTGTAACTTTATTGGATTCAATACTCAAAACTGATTTTATATTTTCGAGGTTCATACTGCAAAATGCATTATCGCTCTTGTTAAAAGCAGCCGTTTCCTTAGAGAGTAAATAACCAGGCGGCATAAGATTTGCTGTATTCATCAAATATTGGGCGTCTATTTTTTCTGGTCTTGCAGATACTGTTAGTTTGTCATGATTGGTATCTATAAAAAAATAAAGTAAACATTATTCAGTACAGAGTTTTATGAGTGTAGATCGTATTATTTGTTTTTTTATTTATACAATTAAAAAAATAAATAGAATTTATCCTGAACCAGTAGCTAAAACGTATTTCCAATGTTAACGTGTTACTTAAGAATATTTGTATAGCTAGAAAAGCACTACTTACCATCACAGTGCCTGGCCAGAAGATCAAAAATTTTTTTCCTTCTAGAACTCATATTTAATTTGTTTACGTTGCGCAAACTCGATCACTATACACTAAGAACTGCTTTAAACTGAGGTAATCTGCGTTATTCGTGTACGGTGGCGCCTTGAAATGCCTAGATTTCTAACAAGTCGAAACCAGTACAGTGCAGAACTAGTTTATGTCCACTAAAAGATGTGAGGGTTTATTAAAATTATAGATCAGAATAAGCCTAAGTCCACATTTTCTTGGACATAAAATTTTGTTTCAAAGTAGAACTAGCTTAAGTCCACACAATTCACTAGTATAGGTAATCTGTCCCAACAAAGGATACTTCTGCATTAAAAATTATTTACCCAAATATGGACATAGAATTTCTGTTCTAAAAAAGGATAGTTCTGCACTACAATTATTTTGCTCAGGACATAGGCTTATTCTTAATTTAATGAGTACGTGAAAAATAAAACGTTAGGACTTAGATTAGTACTGCACTTGATAGGCGACACCTTACTGCATAATATAGTCTAAAATCTCAATTTTGACAAAAATGGACATAGCTAGTTCTGATCTAAAGGGACGATATGCGAAGTGACAAACACTGATCCTGAAGCAATTGTAGAACTTATTACTGAAAGTGACAAGGAAATCAACAAGCGAAAAAGAATCAGTGGAACGTGTGACAAAATGGAAGTCTGTCCTGTTGCATCACAATTCAAGGATAAATCATCGATACGTGAAGCAAGTAAGTCTACTGTGATACCAGAAGAAAATTTTCAAAAGAGGCAAAGCATCAGAAGTAGCGATAAATATAATTTTGAGAACAGCGATCGGATACCCACAAGTACACCAACTACCAATGAAATCTAATCTACTGTCAAGTATTTTTTTAACACTTCTTCGACTAGTTGCACTCGCCTTTGAAACCTACATCTATCTGCCATCTCCCCGTTACTTCTTCGAGCTTCTCTATGTGCATATTGCCATGCATACATGATATGTACTTTGTTTTTTGTTTCGTTGAAGGATACGGTCTTTGGAATAATACTTATATGTTCACCTTCATTGCACATGTTACTTTTGCTGGTGCACTTTTTAGTCACCCCACTACTTTTTCCTTCTACCAACATTGTCTCCACTCTCTTAAACCTTGCTTCCGTTTGCCAACAATACCTCCACCCTCTGAAACTCTGCTTCCTTCACTGCTGCACCTGTCGTAATCTCCTTCTCTCCTGTATAATCCATCTTAGTCTCGCACCACGACCCATGCCTGGAGGTATACGTTACTTCTCTGCATGGGCACCTGAATCAACTGATCCGAATTAGAACCTGCTTCATCATCCCAATTCTCTTCCACTGCCACTTCCGGCGACGGATTCCTGACTCCATATCGGCTAACCGGTGTGGTGTCCATGGGTGTTCGGGACCCAGATGGAGGATGCTGCGGTGTGGTGTTCATAGGTGTTCTGGACTCAGATGGTTGATGCGGCGGTGTGGTGTCCATATGCGTTGGGTCGTCCCAATTTTCTTCTTCAGGATGTATTCTGTTGAATGGGCGTATAACCGCCACCGGCTTCCCCTCCCACACCGTCGGCAACTTAAACGTTTGTCTTGCACTCATTGTTTGATTCGTGCTGTCTGCTAACAACTGCCTCCTCTCCGAGCGCTGCATTAATTTAAACACATATTTCCAAGGTCATACCGTCTACCACTCACGACTTCAAGGTCACATTTCAAGGTCATATTTCAAGGTTATATTTCAAGGCCATATTTCGATTCAAGGTCGCATTTCAAGGCTATATTTCAAGGTTGCATTTCAAGGTCATATTTCAAGGCCATGTTTCAAGGTTACATTTCAAGGTCACATTTCGAGGTTAAATATGCGTTCAAGGTTGGCTCCCAAGGTCGACTCTCAAGGGCGTTCTAGAACATACAAACCCTACCTACTGTCGGTCTTAGATAATTTTTTTGTGATGGGTTAGACATGAGCGCATTTCCAGTTTTCTGGGAAGGTGCCAGACTCATAAGAGTATCTGGAAGAGACGCGAAAGAATTGGAGCTAGCTCCGCTGCACACCTCTCCAGTACAACGGCAGGAATCAAGGCCGGTCCAGAAGCTTTGTTGATGTCGAGCGACAAGAGCACTCGCCTTACGGTCTTATACCTGAATGTTACTTTCCGCATAGTGTAGGGAACCCTTTGAATTGACGACACTTGGGCGTTGAAGGGGACGTCCAAGGTGGAGTTGGCAGCAAAGATATTGGCAAGGACTTCCGCCTTGGCGTTTGAGTCTGATACAATCGTTCCATCCTGAAACGTAAGTGGTAGAAGGCTGCCGTGTGAGAGTTTCTTTTCAATCTGCTTGGCACTTTCCCTGTATGAGGGATATATTCCTCCATTCCGACGTGGATAATTTCGGTTATCGAAGAACAGACAGCCGAGGCATCCGCGTCAGTGAAACAGACATCTTTCCAAGGAAAGCTAGAGAAAAAATCTCTGAGACCCTCCCAGTCGGCATGTCCGTAATGCCAAGTTTTGCGGCCTGTACGAGTTTCTGCTGCCACAGGGGGTTCTGACCGAAACCTAACCTCAACAACACCGTGGTCTGGGTTACCCAGGGGGGACAGGACAGCAGTGCTGTAAGGGGCAGGATGCGTGGTCAGAAAGAGATCCAGCAGGCTACTGGCGTGTGACGAGAGGCGGGGGAAAAAAGTAGGACTCGTCGCCAGCTGAGTCAACCCTTGGGTAACAGCGAACGCTTCGACTGCACGACCTACTGCGTCGGTCTTTTTTGAGCCCAACCAAAGCTCGTTATCCCAGTTATGGTCCGAGGGAGAGCGATAAAGGCAGCAAATAAACTTGGGTGATGTTTTGGAGTTGAGGCAGGAAAGACTGCTGTGGACAAAAACCACAATTCCCCCGTTCTTTCTCAGATTGGAGTGCACCTCGTAGTTTAGGAAGTTAAGATGGTTAATCGGTGCCGACTCTGAGATTTTGGTCTCCGCCAAGAAAAGCACAGCGGGACGATTGGATTGCAGGTAGTGATGAACAGCATCAATGTTGCTATTAATCCCGCAGATGTTCGAAAAACAAATTTTACCTTCGATGTTGTTCCCTCGAGCCCACCCTCCACCCGGACATTCCGAAAGTGGAGTGAGTTTACGTCCGGAGTTCTTAGTGCTCGAGGGATCCATCATCATTAATTTCTTTGTTTTGGAGGATAACCGACTGCATAGCTTAGGTGTGGAAACATGCGGACATTTATAAGACCCCTCTAAAAGCTAGCGGGTGGTACTGCCTCGGTCGACTGGTCCTTGTCTACCACCTTCTTTTTGCGTGTTAATGATATTAAATAGACCTAATGTGGCCCGTTGGCGGACTTGTACCGCCACCCGGCAATCGGTACTGAGGTATTCCTTAACGCGTGGACAATCACTTGAACGGGAAGAAGTTGTATACTGGATACAACAACTTCCGGAACAAGCATTTGCCAAGGCCCTCACTCAGTAGGGAATAGTAAGAGCGAACGCTTCAACTGCTGCATCGGCCTTGTTTAAGCCCAACCAAAGCAAATTATGGTCATTGGAACCACCGAGGAGAACTACCTCTGAAGCGTGGTGATCGATGTTCAGGAAGTCAATCTTGACGGCGAGGTATTCAAGAAGGTCATCCCAGTTATGGTCCAGGGGAGAGCGATAAAGTCAGCACATACTTTTGGGGTCTGATTCCAAAGAAACGTCTCTGGAACAGGAAAGGTTGCTGCGGACAAAAGCCACAACTCCCCCGTTCTTTCTCAGATTGGAGTGCACCTCGTAGTTTCAGAAGCTAAGATGGTTAATCGGTGCGGACTGAGGTTTTTGCCTCCGCCAAGAAAGGCATGGCGGGACGACTGGATTGCAAGTAGTGATGTACAGCATCAATGTTGCTGTTAATCCCACAGAGGTTCGCGAAACAAATTTTATCTTCGATGTTCCCTCGAGTCCACCCTCCACCCGTCCATTCCGAGAAGGAAGTGAGTTTACATCCGGAATTCTTAGTACTCCACTGTCGTGTGACAGCAGAACCTAGTAAGTCGACTTACTAGGTTTTACATTTTTACGTCATTTTTGAAAAGCCCGTAAAAAGTTCTACTAGTTGAATTTTTTTCTCTCGCTCAGACGCACTCTAAATCGTATATCTTTGTCTCATGTTTCCTAGTAAGTCATCAGAACAGCATTTAAAAAATCAACAAATGATGGCATGTCTACATGCTACGTTTTGAAGATTTTTTTTTGTAGGAAATTTGGCGGGAGACTCCGTCGTAAACGCACTTGCTAGTTTTTGCTAAATTTTCATGCCATGATTTCAAGCCGATTGAGTGTAGGCACGGATGCATGCTACAGCGTTTCCGCAGTCATGTTCCAACTGGCATAGAGTGTGGATCGGTGAGGACAGTCGCGAATTAGTTTAACGTTAGTACTGTAGTTAATATCCAGAATATGTCGAGAGGAAAATTCATAACGAGTTTATGCATTACAGAGAGGTGAGTGCAAGCATCATACATTACATATAAGCCAAATGAAATATTAACTCAGGAGTAACATTGCAGTTTGATGTTTTTTTTTCAGTAAAATAAAAGATTATAATTACTACAAACAAAAAGCTAATTCTTGCAATACGGTTTTCGTATTTGAAATATACATTCAAACCGCTGACCTCTATTTATTTTATCTTTCAGAAATGAACCTCTCGAAGAGCGTCAGCAACATGATGAAGAACCTATATCAGATTATGACGATTCTGATGCAGACCCAAATTATGAGCCGTCAGTATCCCCTAGAAGGAAAAAAATTAAATTTTCGGACTTTGATGACGTATCGCTTGCGCCCCTCAAAAACAGGCAGCCTTTGAAAAAAGTCAACGAGAATGTGAATGCAAACTGCAGAGTTTCCCAAGAAAGGCCAGACAAGCAAGAAAAGCACCCCCTACTGCTATCATGCCATAATAATTGCAGGCAGAAATGTAGCTCAAAAATCAATGAGGAGAACTTTAGAGAATTGATAAGAACGAAATTCTGGAGACTCAGCTTTGGCGAGCGTAGACTTTTTTTGGATGCTCATATCAAACAATTTGAAATCAAAGTAAGGCGGCAAGAGGCTCAGCGTTCTTCCAGGAATGTTTCTCTGAAATATTTTCTACCCCTTCCAGTGGAAACTGAAGCTAAATTTGAAAAAATACAAGTGTGCAAAACAATGTTTTTGCATACTTTAGGACTTAAAACAGATGGTATGATAACTTGCCATATACATTCCAAAAAGCGAAGTGTAGAAGGAATTGCACAAACAGTGGATGAAAGGGGGTTAGTTATTAGAGGCATGCTAGAAGAACAAAAAATGAGAACAGAGGAAATTGTCATAAGGCATATAAACTCATTCAATCCGGTAGTATCTCACTATAATTTAAAGCACACCCCGAATAGACGATTCTTGCCACCTGACTTGATCATTAAATACATGTGGCAAGACTTCTGTAATCTACAGAAAATTTCATATGATCTATACAGAAGAATTTTTGAAAAACAGAATATTGGGTTTAAAAAGCCATCCCAAGACGAATGCGCTCAGTGTCTAAAACATAAAGTTCACATTATTCGCCAATGCGACGCAAGTAGTTGCAAGATTTGTTGTCAATTCGAAAACCACAAGAAAAGTTATACGGAAGCAAGACAGCACTATGAAAATGACTCCAATCAAGAGGTAATGCAAGATGAGAAGGTCTATGCTGTAGATATGCAGAAAGTCTTACTCTTGCCCTAAATGTCAACCAAGGAATCTTTTTTTGTTTCAAGGTACTTCGTTTATAACTATATATAATTGTATTAAACTTTTATATACTTCTATATTTGTTGTTGCAGGTTGGTCGTATTCAATGAGACGTTTGCGTCACTTCATAAGGACGGAAATATTTGCGTGATGTGGCATGAGGCTATAAGAGGCAGGTCCGCGACGGATGTTGCATCGGCATACTACAACGTAATAAAAAATTCAGACAATGTTACCAAAAAATTTACATTCTGGGTAGACAACTGTTCTGCTCAGAACAAGAATTGGACACTATATTCTGCTTTTGCGACTTTTGTAAATTGTGAATGGGGTCCAGAAGAGATCACCCTAAAATATTTTGAACCAGGCCATTCATTTATGGCCGCGGATTCGGTTCATGGCCGAATCAGCACAGAAATGAAAAAACACCCAAACATTTATGATTTTGAACAGCTTCTGAAAATAATTGAGCAGTCCTCAAAAAAAACTAAATGTTTGCCTATAAATAATTTTGATTTTTTCCTCTTTGAAGATGGAAGCAAACAAAGAAAAAGCAATAATATACCTCTTCTTGAAAAAATTAAGCTCGCTCAGTTTCGCAAAGGATGCAGACACTTGTTTTATAAAGAATGCCATAATGAAACTGTCTTTCAGGAAGTCGAGTTTTTGAAAAAAAAAGTTGATCTCAAATTCCCTATACATCCTTTTGTCGAGCCACTGGAATTGAACCCAGAAAAAAGAGAAACAATTTTAAAAAAATTGGTACCATCCTTCAAAGATGAAAGAAAGAAACTATTTTGGCAGTTTTTGCCATCTAATGATAATTCCAAAGACTTATGTGTGGTATCAGAGGCTTAGCGCTTAAGTTCTTG